GTGTGTGTGTGTGTGTGTGTGTGTGCCAGTGCATTGTTGCGAAGAGTGCCCTCAATCTTGTCATCCTACACGCTGCCACATATGGCAAATCTGTTTGTCGTGCGAGGAATGAGCCCCTCGGCAGTGCTGAAAAGGCCCTGCCTCCTTTTTTTTCTTTTTTTTTTTTAACAGAACCTTATGACTCTGGCTCCTTTTCCATTCTGGGGAGCATCAGTTTGGTTCCTATTCCACTGGCAAGTCCAAAACTTACATGAGAAACTTGCACACACTCCTCCCCCTTAAGGTGGGAAGGCCTGAAGGACAGCATTGATTACTTCCATACCGGAAGAATGTACCCCCCTCACCCCTGCATTCTATTCCTACTGTTTCCTTATCTGGTTGACACCTACCCATGCTATGCTGTTTTTAGAGCTAGTTCAATAATGTCGTCTAGCTTAAGAAGGCGATCCTCCTCTCAGCTGACGCTGACTGAAATGCTTAAGAAACTGGATGACGCTGACTGAAATGCTTGAGAAACTGGATGACACTGACTGAAATGCTTAAGAAACTGGAGCGCTGAGACCTCAGATGATCTAACCTTGCTTTTGTCTTGAAAGTGTGCCGCCTTTTTTCTTTGTTGCTGTGGAGTCTGGGAAGCCTTCCAATCCGTAATTCTGTGGTCCTTGATCATCTTCTGTTAGCTGGGGGTGGGGCCCAAGGTCCTATGCGACTGATGTCAAAACCCAAGTCTTTGAATATTCTATAGCCTGGATGTTGAAGGTTCTTGGGAGTACTGACTACCTAAAACCCTAAACCTGAAGTGTTCTCACACTGTTTCCTGCGACCTGGTGGTTCGAGGATGTGGCTTGGGGCGGCTTGGGGTGACGGTGGGAAGGGGCTGAGGGATGTGGATAGGGAGTCGAGACGGTAGATAAGTTAGGGTCCGGCATTTGAAACTGGAAGAAATACGTCTGATGGTAACTATTACTATTGCTGTATTACGCAGGGCCAGTTTACTTCCTTGAACCTTAGGTGGTTACAACCAATCTGTCCAGTAGTCTGCTATCATAATGTTTGGTTTCGGGATGGTTGCGTCGAATTCCCTGGATCTTGGTTGTTGTGTTGGGTGGGGGTAAACCCGGTAAACCAGTCTTTCAGAGATTAATCTGCTCCCTATTATCGAGCCTAGTTTTCCTCCTCCGAGTTTTGATGCAGTGAAATTTTTAATACTCTCAGGCTTTTTGGCCGGGGCGTTTTGCATTTGGGTCTGTGTTTTTTCCAGAGGGCATGGATTTCAGTCTCAATTAACTGTTTAATAAGGAGGAGGGGATTTTCAGGGTTAGTAGGAAGGTCTTCAAAGGTTAGGTCGCATCTTCTTCTCCAAATCGCCCGACGAGTCACTTTTCTGATTAGTGAGAAGAAGAAGAGATCAAAACCTTTGAAGGGTGGTGTTTGATCTATGCCAAGGAAAAGGGTGCCAGGCAGCCAGGGTTAATTTTAACTATTTCACTAGAGAGTTTGCTCCAAGTTTGTTCTATCTCATTCTATAGGATTTGGGCTTTCTTGCATTCCAGGAAGCAGTGGTTGAGTGTTTCTATAGCTTGGGAGTTGCAGACTTTACACCATAACTCCTGTTCTGATCTGTCTTCCTTCCTTCGTCTTTGTGCTAACCAATGGTTCACTGGGACCGCTCTATGAAGATATGAGCCAGAGCAGACTGGCCAGTTTGACCGGTCTTGTGCAGAAGATTGATGACCAGGAAGGTTTGAACTTTGAAGGATGTGTTAGCGAGGAAGCTTTCCTCCTTTTGCCATCTTTTAAGTAGAATAGCCAAAATAGGAATGGGTGTGGACTGAAGGATCACCTTGTTTGGAAGCCATGGAAGGTGCTGGAGGTGATTCCCTACGGCCTCTTGAGTGGAGAAGTCTCAGCAGAGCAGGCTGCGGTAGCGGCAGCACTGGTAGAAGGGCATGGCATCTTCACAGGCAGCCTCGAGGACATGAGCGCAAAGCTGGGGGAGGCAGCCAGGCAGGTTAGACTCTGCCACCCTGCCCCTGCAAACTAGGGAACCAATAAACAAATAGCAACACGACCCATAACACCATGGCATCACGCCGCAGGGCAGCTACACCAACCCAATCAGAGAGACAGATCAGGCATTTTAAGACAAAGCCAAGGGAGCCCGAACTGTGGGTGATGTCATGGAACGTGAATGGACTAGCTGCTATACTTTCCATAACAGACAAATGGGACAACCTCGTAGAGGACGTAGGCTGGTTCTTAGTGAACCCCCCAGACATAATCTGCCTACAAGAAACACATCTGACAAACACACAGGAACACAACAAGATAAGAGATAGGATATTAGCAAAACTAAAATGGGTTAAAGACTCTGACTGGGCACACGCTCCGTGCCCCAACTCAGCTGGAACAGCAATAATACTCCATGGAAGATCAAGAGCATCCAAGAATATCACCAGCTCACGTTTCAGAGCGACCAGGAACGGGGAAGATGGGTAGAAGCATTCTTTTCCCTAAAAGAGGAAGAATTTCAGCTCATCACAGTCTATGCACCAAATGACCCGACTCAAAGGCAAGACTTCCTACAAGAAATCACGGAGAAGTGTAATCAACAAAAACATATCACCATAGTAGGTGATTGGAACACAACTCTAGACCCATCCTTAGACCGGCTCTCGGCGGCTGGAACAGACAGGGAAAACACAGCAATGTTAGAATCAACGGCAATTCAAACACTAATACTAGAAAAGAACCTTTCAGACCCATTCAGACTACTCCACCCAGAGGCCAGAGCCTTCACCTATAGGAAAAGGAACAGAAGCCAGCACATCACAAGCTCCCTCCTAGACTACTTCCTGGTGGATAACACTCTACAGGGCACTGTGCTAGATTCAGGAACAGGGAAGATACCGCACCACATCGGGCTGGACCACAGCCCAATCTTCCTAGATCTAGCATTCGACCCGGGCCAGAGAAAAGGTTCCAGCTTTTTCAAGATAAACAACTCACTCGTAAAGCAAAGGGAAATGAAAAAAGTAGTACAAGCATGCATTGACAGCGACCAAGAGCATCTAGACTTCCCCAGCCTAGTAGTTAACATTTCAACAACAGCTTCCAAAGCATCTAGAATCATAGCAGCCCGTAGGAACCAAAGGATGAGAGAACTAGAAGCAGCAATGGCAGTAGCGGAAAAAAATAGAATCCAGCATCCATTAGAGACACTTTACGAAGAAGTATGGACGAGCAAGAAATGAACTGCACAATTGGCACATCTGGAAGACTTAACGGCCTAAGAATGAGAGCAAGGACAAAAGAATGGGAAGAAGGAGAAAGGATGACAAAACACTTCTTCCAAAGGATCAAAGCAAGGGGGAGAAACTCAACCATCCAACARCTAAAAGATGAACAGGGACCCACATCCAACCCGAAACGCATGTTGGAAATAGCGGAGAATTTCTACAGAAGCCTCTATTCATCCAAAACAGATAACCCAGCCCCAAGGAGAGTCAAAGACGCAAGAGAATCCTTCACGAAACACTTAGACAAGACTATTACGAAAGAACCAATACAATCGGAAGAGGTCCTACAAGCTCTCAAGTCCATGAAACCAGGAAAAACGCCGGGCCAAGACGGACTATCAAAGGAATTTTGGATACAATATTGGGACATACTAGGAGTAGAATATACAAATTTCCTTGAGACAGCGTAGCTGGAGGAAAGTATGGGAAAATATCTCAGCATGGGAATAGTATCCCTATTATACAAAAAGGGCGACCCAACAGATATAACACACTATAGACCCATTACCCTCTTAACAATAGCATACAAGATACTAGCAAAACTACTAGCGAACAGGATCAGCACAATCACTAAAAAGTGTTTCCACATAGATCAAATGGGGTTCATACCAGGAAGATTCATCTTAGACAATGTTATGACTCTAGCAGAATCGGTAAGAACCCTCAAAGACAAAAAAAGTGAATGCAACCATTCTCTTCTTTGACTTTGAGAAAGCATATGATCAGGTGAATTGGGACTTCCTACAACAATGTATGGAAAATATGGGAGTAGGCCCAATGTGCTGCAGATGGGTCAGA